ATGTAACAAAAGAAGAACGCTTTTTGGTGCTATATAGAACATTTACAGCACATTCTTTATCAACGTAACAATAGAAGAACCCTTTCTGGTGCTGTACAGAACCATGTACAACACACCCTCCATCAATCTGAAGAACGATTTCACCATGCAAAGAACTCTTTAAGCATGCAAATGTTCATGGTGTTCCATATGGAACCATTGTCTTCACTAAAGAACCCCTAAGAACCATCTTTTTTGAGTGTTCTTGAAAATAAATTGGGTGTTCTTGAGAATAAACTGGGGAAAGCTGGCCTCCAACATCTAAATAAGTAAATAAGAATTGAAAGAAAACATAAAAAAAACATTAAAGACGTCACATGTTCCATGGGTTCACAGTGTGGGCCTGAAAGGCATGTTCTAGATTTGGGGGGTTATATCACTGAGCCTGTTCTCTTCATTTCATGTGCAGGACGATCCAAGTTTTCGTCTCTCGACGCGAAACTTCCTCAAACGGTATAATGACATCGATTATGACAGTTTCGTGGGGTTGATGGGGAGGAGGAGCGCAGGTGAGCAGCTCACTCTTCATCCTCTCTTTAACTAAACTGCGTTTTCTGCATTGGAAATGCTTTTTATGACGCTCCAGTGTGTTTTTTGCTTTCAGATGCTGATGAAATGCTGTCTCAACGCAAAAGTAAGAGCACTCTGTTTTTTCTGCTTTCTTCTCAGCATACTTTTCTTTCTAGTGTCCCAGCAGTGCACTCATTTTCTATCCTTTCAGGAGAAATGCATGACATCTTTGTTGGACTCATGGGTCGACGGAGCAACGATGCTGGTGAGGTTCACTGCAAAAGCAGCCTAGTGAATTGAAATGTGTGCATCATTACTACATGAATACCAACACTGTTATTGCCAAGTGTAAGAAACTGAAGGATGAGGCTGTTGATGTGGAAATGTACACATTTGTATCAAGGAAGCTGAATTATATTTGAGCATTTATGCTCTGGGGGACTCTTGAGCTGATCAATCAGAGTGATCTCATTCCGTGCCTAAGTGGACATATGTCAGGATCTGTTCTGAGGCTGCCTTTGACAGCACTTTGTACAGCCTCAATAAGACAATGTCACATCCACTCAGATGTACTGCATTTACGCTGACAGATACTGGCCGTCCGTGGAGGAGAGAGCAGCCGCAGCCAGAGACCAGAGGCTTGTTCTTTAACAAGTGCAGGCTGAGGTTAGTGCTTCTCATGTTTCAGTGCCATTCCTGATCTTAAATACTGCTGCATGCTCTTGAAAGCAAAGGGCCCAAAGGTTCCACAGCAGAACTACACTCTCAGAAATGAAGGTCTGAAACTGTCACTGGGGTGGTACCCTCAAGGGTACATCTCAGTACCTTTAGTCAGGGAACATAACTGCACTATAATCCAATGAAATTATATAATTATATATATTGTCTAAGTTGTATTGACTCCACACACCCCGTCTCGTCTCCCATCTTTTTATTTTATTGTTCTGTTTTACAACATTACCTTATGAAAAAGGTACAAATATGTATTTTTCAGCAAGAAAAACTTATTTAAGGTACACAATTGGATCTTAAAACCACTGTTGTACCTTTGAGGGAACATTTAACATTGTTTGTACCTTGATAAAGAATGTACCTGCACAGAAGCTTTATTTCAAACAGTGTACTTCTGGTTCTTTCAGTGGATAGAAATCAGATGTACAAAGAACTTCCACATGATGGAAAGGTTGCACCAATGAAAGTTTTTTTTTTCCTGGAACCACACATCCAAGCCAAGAACAGTTACAGTTACAGCTGGATGCAAAAGTTTGGGCACCCCTGGTTACATAACATGCCTTCTAAAGAGAACACACGTCTGCACAATTGCTATTTGCTGAATTTAATATATGGGGAAAACAAACTATGACCTAAACTAAAATATGACCTGTAGAAAAGTTTTCACATTTATCCTTTTCCAATATGTTAACTTAAGGCAAACAAACAGAAACTGTGCACTAAAATCTGCAGAAAATATGTGTTCCCTGTACAGGATGGACACATTTTCACTTGGGGATGCTCAAACCTTTGTATATAACAGTATATTTTTAAGAGTATATCTCTATATTATATCTTGCTGTCCACGAAAGCTGCTCTGTTGCTTTGTAACCACTGACTATGAACATGTGTTACGTAAATGGGTATAAACAATAGTGCTGTGATGTGATGTGCATGAACACATTAATAGAAACGGCAAACATGTCAAAGGCGAATGGTTTCCTTCTCCAGATGGACACTGACGTGGAGTTTCTGTTTCAGATTCCGTCGTGGGTTATAGGCAGAGCCATTACTCCACTCCTTTCGGACCATCTGTACTGTTCTCACAAGACAGCTCCTTTTCTCGCCACAATTTGGTGCAAAAAACAAACAAAAAAACAATAATGATAATTGAAGCAAATAGCCTGATCAGATGACATTTATCAAAGATGATTTATTATGATTTACGTTGACCTTCAGCTATAAATGACAAATTGTATATACCTGTAGACAGAATTAAATCTCCAGATACATCCTCTGAATTTGAGCATATTTATTTACCAGTTACTTTTGCTTTCAAATGTAAAAAAAAAAAAAACATGATTTTTGTAAATAAAGATATTATTTAATTGATCTCAATCTCACTTAATTGCCACATAATATGCAAAGTCAATGATACATAACGGTTCAGCAGTATGAGCAGTGAAGAATATTGTGTAATGTGTTGATTTCTAAAGCACTGTGCCAGTTCAAAAGCAGAGCATTTATTCCATCAGCTACATCAACCACACAGCCAATTTGTGAATGTTATTAAGGCGTCAGATGTCACACATTAAAGGTCCACCAAGTAGAACAGCCCTTAAACACAAACACACACAAAGTAAATGTTATTTGCATGAGAGTAGGTATGAAGGAAATGTTAAGGCAGCCCGTAAGCTGGGGAAACCTACAGCGGCCACAGCAAAACTGGACCCTACTCCCCTTTTCTAAGTCAGGACAAGATTAATCATGTGACTAGATCTGAGCCACTAATATGCAACCTATTACACAAGTGACATGAAAAATTTACTTAGTGTACCTTTAACTGACACTGATGTACAGAATTACGGTGTTTGAGTTATAATGAAAAATACCGACTGAGAGTTTAATTTTTCTTCTGTCGATTACAATCCATTCATTTTAATGCATTTCATACACAGCTTTGATCATTCGGATAGTTAAAAGTGCACAAACTCAAGAGACAAATGCTACTAAGGGCATTAAAGTAAAACAACAATGCTGGAGTATTTTTAAAACTATCTTTGATCACTTATGCTGGCCTTGAGTAAAGTACCACCAAAGCACAAAGGCCAAAAGGAGTACTATTAATACCATGTTAATGTCTTCATTAAGGCAAACATTCAACTGAAAATTAGAAGTGACATAACTGAAGTAGGAAGAAACACATTTCAAGTAAAATAAATACAGCTGGTTCCTTTTTAGAAAATAAATATGGATGTTTCTGTTTTAGAAAAGAGGAAAGACTAGAAAAAAGTTTGATTAAGATATTAAAATACAGGGGGTGAACAAAATAATCAAACTACTATATGATATACTCACTCACAGACATTTGTCTGGTACACCAGCTAAATACAGTAATGTGGAAAAGTCAGAATCCAGCTTTATTTCCAGTCAAAACCACCGTTAAGTCAAATCATGTAAACCCTATATTTCACTGAAAATGCTTCAAAGACAACATATCAAATGTTGAAACAGGAATTTTTACCCAATCATGTTGCCAATTAACCACCAGATGTTTTTTTAGCATTACACAACTTCACTAGCCTTTTGTTGCCCCCGTCCCAACTTTTTTGGAACATGTTGTTGGCATCAAATTCAAAATGGACAAATATTTTTCAAAAAACAATAAAATTTCTCAGTTTCAACATTTGATATGTTGTCTTTGTACTATTTTCAATGAAATATAAGGTTTACATTATTTGCACATCACTGCATTTTGTTGTTATTTACATTTTTGGAAATGAGGTTGTACAAGCTATTTATTTTTCAGGAGATGTTTCTGAGATTAGATAGAAGATAAACCACTTGCATAAGGGAGGGAAAGTCAAAGAAAAATAAGTGAGGAGTTTTGAAAGTGCAAAGACCTGGTAGACCACTGAAACTGTCCCCATCAGGTATAGAGTATAAGCTTTTATCTTTGATAGAAAGGAGAACATCAAGCTCCACTGTTCAGATCGGAAAAAATCCACAGCTGTTTCTGTCCATCCTTCCACTGTGACGAGACAACACTATGACTGTGAAAGGGTGTGTAGCAGTTAGGAAGCTGTTACCGAGAAAAGAAGACACAGTGTCATTGAAGCAAACTACTGCTTTTATGAACAATAAAGCTATTGTGGAAAATTTTCTGCCTGCTACATTGACTTCAGTTACAAGTCGGTTCCATGACATGCTTTCCATATAAAAAGGAAATCTGCAAATCAGATAAAGATATTCTTAGACCAGTGGAGTCCAGACCTCGGTGTCACGTGTTCCAGATTACATGGATTATGAAAATCAGACAATACAATCTAAGGCTGAACTTTGGAGGTGTGGAAAAATGTCACAACAGATTTCTTTGAAAAACTAAAAACAAGTCTCCTGAAAACAACAAAAGCTTTAATAAAGAGAAAGTGTGGATTAAATACTGAAAAAATACTGAAACATGAAAAAATGCAATTTATATTTAGTTGTTTTGCAATTTTCTGTTAAATATATGTTTTGTCTGAGCTTGCACAGTACTGTCCATTTTGCTGGACAATTTATCAGCCACCCTCTACCCTGTCCATCGTTTAAAAAGAACCACCATAAAACCACTGCGTACCAGATATTTGTAACATGTTAACGTGAGCTGTGCAGGTAATTGTGCACATACAAAGTGCACCTATATGGTAGTTGTCCCAGATAAAATGGCCAATGAGTTTAAGTATTTCATTTAATGCCTTTCCGTTATTTTGTAGCTGAAATGGAATTTGGTGCTCAATGAGGTGACTTTGACTTAAAAAATATTTTATTCACCAACCGTATGCTCAGTTTCCACCATCAGCAGTTTCCAGTTTCTCAATACAAAAATATTTTCGTTTTTTGCTGTAAATCTTATGCTGCAGTGCAGGAGGATCCAGTATGTCCAGCTACATTATGCATCATCATCTGCACAGTATATTTCATGAGTAGCTTTCTCTCCCTGAACCAGCAAACACAAACGCAGAATATAAGAGGTGAATGAACCACAGGAAGAACACAAAATAAACTCATTGTCACAGAGACAATGAGTGTTGATATGACAATGCTAATAGATGGCTAAGGTCCCTCTAACAATGCTATTTTCCGTATATTGTCTGTGTATACATTCCCTGTCGTCCACGTACAATATAATCATATCAGCCTCTTGAGGCTAGCCTTGGCTCTCCTGCATTGGGGCAGTGCTGTTGTCTGCCCGCTTTCTCTCTGGAGCCGCTTTTGCCACTGTGTGCGTTTCTGTATGTCCATCTAATTCCTGATTGTCCTGATTTTTGGATGCATTTGGTTCCTCTGCTACTGGCTGAGAGACTTTCACAGTGCCCATCACTGTCCTCTCAGTCTGGGCTACAGTGTTGAGGATGGATGGTTCCGGAGGTTTGTAGCGGTGCTGGTAGCCATATGGTCGCAGATGGTAAGTGTAGTACTCTAGAGTGTACATCAGCTCAGCGTCCACATAATGGAAGGACACAGCGAGATCAGAGCAGCACTGTGGGCCCTGTAAAAAGTATCAAAGAGGATGAATGACAGTGAGATACCAATGCATAAAAACAATAACACTGCATATGATAGGTACATATCATACCACATAAACACTTCATAATGTATTCATGAAACCAACAAAGTATTCATGTTTTATGAAATATGGATCACTGAGTTTTAACATGGAGATTATTTTCCAAAATAAAAGTACACACATATCACACGTAGTATTATTATTAAAAGGGACAAACTTGCCAATATAAAAAAAAAAATCAACCATTGCTACATTTAGACCTGTCACAGTTATTACATAATGACCTGGCTGCAATTATAAGAGCTGATCACAATTATTTTCTATAGCTGTAAGATTCCACAAACATAAACGCAAATAAGGTGCATATTCATCCATCAAGTTTTGGTAAATTCATGTGAATACATAAAAAGCAGAAAGTGCTTTCACTGAGACACATTATGGGTTTTACAAAACAACAAACGTTCCAACTTTAGACTTATTAATCGCAATTATTTATATGGCAGTTAACCATCAGCTCAAACTTTCATAATCGAGACAGACCTATCAACTCTTACATCCTCCAGTGGTGCCACAGTAATCTCTAATGCAAGATTTTCTGGTTTAAAAAGTAGAAAAAGGCCTATCTGATGATATCTGGAAGCTGGGAGAAACTTTTTTCCCCATTTGATGGTGAAGGCAGGAGGAAGGCAGATAGCTAACATTCCTGCTAGGAAGCCAAATACATATTTTTGCAGCGGTATAACTGTAGTTTGCGAATGCAGACCACGCCTTGGTAAGTTAGATAATGATAGGAGGGGAACTCTGAGGAAAATTTGGGCTGGAGTTCAGTACGGCCTCTGTGGATCGCGAGAGGGCCGACCCCCCTACCAAGATTGAGTGCAGGCGTGGACAAAGTGGAGGAGAAGGGGAGGAGGAGGGGTGCGAAATTTCGTCACGAGTGGGAGGAGTGAAGGAGTGGTATTTATAGGAAGCTGAAATTGGGAAGGAGGAGTTTAGGCGTGGTCTTTCCTCAAACTTCAGTTATGCCATAACTCCATTTTGCGAATGCAGACCACGCCTTGGTAAGTTAGATAATGATAGGAGGGGAACTCTGAGGAAAATTTGGGCTGGAGTTCAGTACGGCCTCTGTGGATCGCGAGAGGGCCGACCCCCAAAAATTCTGGATTAGATGGAGGCCAGCTGTTCGTGAGCTTGGCGGAGGTCCTGGATTTGCGTGCGTATGTAGCCATGGTAAGCTTGCAAGGACCATCGTCCGAGTAGTTGGACCATATGGTCGGGGAGCCCTTGGCGAGTCGCAGAAGAAGCTGCTCCGATTCTGAAGGAATGAGCAGAAAATTGTTCCGGAGGGTAACCGGATAATGAAAGAACTAGGCGTAAGAGTTTGTGGAACCAGCGACGGGAGACCACGGAGCCGGTTTCTGTAATGAAAAGTGGGTCTGATTGTTGGGCGTTTTGAGAGAGCCTGAGTTGGAGTAGCTGTGCCAGAGGCTCATATGGGCTCAGATAAGAGTTGATTTTAAATAAGTACAAAGGAATGCTTTTACCAAACTGGTTTGTTTTGCTGTGTTTGATGTTGTAGATCATGGTATCTGAGTTTAACATGGTTAAGTCTGATAGGCAGGGATGTAGAGCAGGGTTGAAAGCTTCTGTTTGAGCTGTATATTCTGAGCATCTCAGGAATCCGAAAAAGGCGAGGAGAAACAGAGCTTCTAATGTAGTGGATAGTTCTTTGGGAGAGTATGTCAGAGGTTAAGGGCAGCTGGCGTGGTGGAAGGCGAGGTTCATTTCTTTGGATTCCTTTTAGTAAAAGTATAATCTGAGGGTGGTTAGCTGTTGTGTGTTGGGTTCCATTGATAAGCTTTGTAAAGAAATTGATCCCGGCTAAATAGACTTTTAAGGTGGAAGAGCGAATGGCTAAATATGAACTGGCAAATGTGAGGTAAGCAGCTGTCGTTGACAGATTGTCTGAAGGGAACGGAATGCTGTGGAGTGCGTGGAAGCGCTGGAAAGATTTCCATCTGGACCAATAGGTTGACAGGGTACGAGGGGCAACTGCGCTTAAGATTATTTCTTGAGCTTGGAGGAGGAGCTGAAAGAACTGCTGGTCAGTTGGAGGATTGAGTCTGAAAATGGAGGAATTGGTGTCGGATGAGGCTCTGCTTGAGGTGCCAAGGCTTTGAATTTCTGAAATTGAAAACGAGAGAGAGAATCAGCAATAGCATTTGAATGGCCTGGGATGTGAATGGCTCGAAGAATAAATTGATGTTTGATTGAGTGCCAAGTCAGGCGACGTAAGAATGGCATGAGTGTCAGGGATTTAGATCGTCCTTTGTTTATCATATGAACAACAGCAGAGCTGTCAGAGTGGATAAGGATCACTCGTCGTGTCCATTCGTGTCCCCAAAGGAGTGCGGCTATGCTACCGGGTAGAGTTCCCACAAGGCAGAGGAATCACCTGATTCAAATGAAAGCGAGGCAAACTCCGGAGGCCATTGAGAAGCGAACCAGCGGCCGCCATAGAAGCCGCCGAAGCCTATCGAGGGAGCAGCATCAGTGAATAGTTGCAGATCTTCAGGGACTAGGATAGCGTCTTCGTGGAAGAAAGAGATGCCATTCCATTGCTGAAGGAGGAAGAGCCAGAAGCGGAGTTCCGAGATACATGCGTCGTCCAAGGAGAGGCGGTGGTGAAGTGAGGGAACCGAGGAGGCGATGCTGAGGAGGTGGGAGATAAAAGAGCGACCTTGAGGTATTATTCGAATTGCGTAATTGAGATGCCCAAGAAGAGAGAGGAGCTGGAGCTTCGAGCATTGAGGCTGCAGCACAAATTCTGACAGGGCAGTAGCAATGCGATCTAGCTTATCGGGTGGAAGGGAAGCCTGAAACGAGTCCAGCTGAATGCCAAGGAACTCAAGAGAGGTAGATGGACCCAATGTCTTCTCCGGAGAGAGGGGGATACCGAGACGCTGAAATGCAGAAGAGAGGGTGCGGAGGCCATACGCAGGCGGGGAGGAAGGGGGGACCGCCACGAGGAAGTCATCGAGGAGGTGAAGCACGTAGGGTAGTCTGCAAACATTCAGCAAGATCCAACACAAGTCTTCGGCCAGAGTGTCGAAAATCTTGGGGCTGCTTTTGCACCCGAAGGCGAGTCGAACTGCAAAGTAAAATCTGCCATCCCAGCAAACTCCGAACAGATGCCAAAAATCAGGGTGCAGAGGGAGGACCTTAAAAGCCGAGACAATGTCAGCCTTGGCGAGCCAAGCTCCACGGCCGGCCTGCTTGATGAGCGATATAGCATTGTCCACGGTAGCGTAGTGAAGAGAGAAATCAGAGCTAGGCACGAGGCTGTTGATGGATGGTTCTGAAGAGCCGTGAGGGGCAGACAAATCAATGATGAGGCGTTTCTTGCCGGAGTATTTACGAGTGGCGACGCCAATAGGATTGACGCGATAGGTGGAGAAGGGGGCAGAAGCGAAAGGGCCGATCATGAAACCCTCCGAAACTTCCTTGGCTAAAAGGGAAGACACAACGTCAGGCTCGGACAGAGCGGAGAGGAGGTTGCGACATGAAAGGGATGAGGCAGGAAGCACAGCGAGTCCAGGAGAAAAGCCAAAGATGAGGCCGTCCAGCAAATACGAGACGAAAGAATGATCAGGATGGAGGGAGAGGTCAGCAGCGAGAGCAGGGACATTGACGGGGGTAGAAAGATGCCGAAGTAGTCATTTGGGCCCAAACTTAGGAGGGTGAAGGGGACATCCCGATCTAGAATGAGCCTGGCCACAATGAGAGCAGACGTGGAGGAACTTGCACGAAGAGGAAAAACAACCAGCGGAGTTGAAATTATTACAAACCATCCGTCCCCCGAGGAAAAGCAAACGCTGCCCGCGGCTATCGCGGGAACTGGAAGTCGTAAAGATAGGGGCGGGGGCTGCCGTAGGAGCTGAGGGTACAGCAATGCGGGGAGCGGGAGGGGGCGGAGCAACGAGATTGCAGGAGGAAGCGGGGTGAGACGGGCAACCGCAGAGCTCACAGGAGAGAGCAGTACGACCAGCAAAAACGCGACAGTAGAGCTCAAGGTCCAGGTAGCCCCAATATGTAGACATGTTCCACTGCTGAAGACGGGCAGACGCACGGGCCGAGAACAGACGATGGTAATCGTAGAAGCCCGACCCTCCAAATCGAACGGCGAGGTCCAAGATGATAGAAAGATAGTCATCCAGCTCCTGACGCCGCGATGGGAAGGCTGAGCAGAGTACATCACGGTAGATGGAAAAAGCGAGTGCGAACTCAGGAGCGGTGAGGACCTTAGAGGTGCGAGGATCGGCACACTTGAGGGTGAGAGAAACATCGCCGGCGTCGATGGTACGGGGAGCACCGGAGGCAGCGGAAGGGTGAAGTAATGAAGGGAGACTGACGTCCGCACCTTGGAGGATCCGTGCACGCAGGGCAGAAGAGACGAGAGGTGGATTGAAGAGGCGGGCCTCGCTGGGTGGGACAGCAGGAGGAGCGGTGTAGAGGGAAAACGAGGAGTCGGCGAGGAGGGGCCGAGGCTGGGCTGGCAGTGACTGCGACTGGAGACCTGGGATGGGATGAGAAAACGAGGCAGAAGGGCAAGCAGGGAACGTCATAAAAGAAGGAGGAAACAGGTACGAAGAAAGGGGGAGGGGCTGGGATGATGAAGGGAAGGGTTGGGATGATAAGGGGAGGGGTTGGGATGATAAGGGGAGGGGTTGGGATGATAAGGGGAAAGGATGGGATGATAAAGGAAGGGGTTGGGATGATAAAGGAAGGGGTTGGGATGATAAAGGGAGGGGTTGGGATGATAAAGGAGGAAGCTGAGAAGAAGGAAGAGACATATCCAAAGGTGGGGCAGAAAAAGGCTGGGAAAATATAGGGGGAGAGAGCCGAGAAAAAACAGAAGCAAGGCATGCAATGGGGGCGACGACAGTGCTGGCAGGGCCAGCAACGGAGGCAGGCTGCCTGGTAGCGGGTCCGGGACATCCAGCGGAGGGCGGCACATCAGGCGAGGGGGCGTCCGGGGAGTCGGTGACGTCATCGCGCGCCGGGGCCGTGGGGAAGGTGACGCGATCAGGGTGCGCCTTAGCAGCGGAAGGCAGGCGCTGTTTACTCCCGAGAGACTGCACGTACAGGGAGAAAAGCTCTGCCTTAGGTGCCGTGCGGGCGAAATGAACGTGCCGGTCCCTAAGGACCTTCTGCAGTTTAGCAACGGTCCAATCGGAGATAGACGGAGGTCTAGATTTAGAGCAGGAGGGGCGCGGGAGTGCCGGATCCGGGGCAGTCGCGGGAATCCTCGGCTCTCGACGGCCGCGTCGCGTGCGCGGAGACTGC